TGAATAAGTAAAACTAATTTTGCCATATTGATAATATAGTCAGCTTTTAATGTATTTTGATATCTTAAAATATTTTAATGCTACATAATCTTCATATTATTATTATTTTAGAGATAAGGTCTCACTCTGACACCTAGGCTGGAGTGCAGTGGTGTAATCATAGCTCACTGTAACCTTGAATTCCTAGGTTCAAACAATCCTCCCTGTCAGCCTACTGAGTAGCTGGCAGTATAGGTGCAGACCACCACACCCGGCTAATTTTTCAAATATTTTTGTAGAGACAGTGTCTCACTAAGTTTCCTAGGCTAGCCTTAAACTCCTGACATCAAGTGATCTTTCTGCCTTGGCCTCCCAAATTAATTTTTCAAAAAAGTTTTATTTTAAAAGTTTTAGACTGACAGGAAAATTGTGAAGCTAGTGTACAGAGTTCCCATATAACCTGAAACCAAGTTTCCCTTGTTATTAACCACACTATAATTAATTAGTGTGGCACATTTGTCATAATTGATAAGTCAATGTTCATAAATTATTTATCAACTGAAGGCCATACTTTATTCAGATTTTCTTATTTTTTGCCTAATATTCTTTTTCTGTTCCAGGATCACATCAAAGAGATGGAAGCTGCATTTAGTCATTATGTCTCCTTAAGCTCCTCTTGGTTGAATCACTTTCTCAGACTTTCTTTGTTTTGATAATCTTGACAAGTGTCAAGGAGTAGTAGGTCTGCTATTTTGTAGCATGTCCTTCATTTGGGATTTGTTTTATGTTTTTCTCTTAATGAGACTGGAATTATGTGTTTGGGAGAGAAAAACCACAAAGGTAAAATTCCATTATATCATATGAAGAAAACATATGATCAATACGATTTAGGATGCTGATGTTGACATTAATCACCTGGCTGAGGTAGCGTTTGTCAGCTTTCTCCACTGGAAAGTTTGCTCTTTCACCTCTTTTCATACTTGACTCTGTAAGAGAGTCACTATGCGCACCCCACACCTAAGGAGCAGGGAGTTAGGCTCTACCTCTTTGATGGCTGAGAATCTGCATGAATTATTTAGAATCCTGCATGGGAGAATTGTCTGTTCTCTTACTTATTTATTTAACATTTATTCAGAACATTATGGAGACATGGATATGTATTTTATGCTTTAGATTATAATCCAATATTACTCAATTTGTTTTGTTGTTCAAATTCTCCCACTTTGGCCATTGCAAGCTCCTTTAGTTGACGTCTGTGTTCCTTTGACATACTCTCATAATTATGGTTGGGGGAGATTTTACATTCTGGTATTAACAGATGCTTCTGGCTCATCTTTTATAATCTCTACTCCAGTCATAGAAAAAGTCATTTCTCTGAGAAACCCAGGTATTTTTTTTATCAGAGAATGTTACTAGAAACCAAGATCTGGATGATAAGTGTGCTCATTGTTACTGATGTATCATCATCATCCTTGCTTCTAAGCCCTCTCAGCTGAGAAGCAAGGAAATACATATGTGTATCCTAATGCATGTATATGTACATATCTATAAACATATCTATATGTACACATAGGTATCTATGCTGAGCTAAACATGAGTTTGTATTAATGTCTCAGATGCTAATCCATTACCACATGGATTATCCTAGACTAAAGCTGCAGTATACATTCACAGGCAGGTATTTAAGTGGAAAAAGTTTTCAAATGTTAGATAAACACCAACGAATGTGATTGCTAGATAAGAAAGTGCCAAAATATCTTCCAAAGTGACTATATTGTTTTGCTTTCCCTCCAGTAATGAATGTTTCCATTGCTCCACTTTCTAGCCAAAAATTGTCTAGGCCATTATTACTTGAAATATTTCTTTTGCCTTGTACTTTATTTCTCTTCTGGTATTCCAATTCTATGTAACACTTTTTAAAATTTCCCAGAGTTCTTAGAAGTTCAGGGTTTTTTAAATTCTCTTTTTGCTATGCATTGCTATTTCAGAAAGTCAGTGTTCTAAAAGGATAATCATTTTAAATGCTCACAAAAACTAGATTAAAATTGCCCCAGAGGAGGAAAAATACTGACATTTCTGTTGACATATCCTCAAGTTCTTTGATTCTTTCTTCCTGTGTCAAGTCCACTGATAAGCCCAACAAAGGCATTCTTTATTTCTGTAACAGTTTTTATTCATTTTTAATATTTCTTTTCATTCTTTGTTAGTTTTTTTCTGTCTGTTTACATTACCCATCTCTCCTTGCATATTGTGTAGTTTTTCCAGTAGAGCCATATTAAATCATAGTTATTTTAAATTTCTTGTTTCATAATTCGTGATTTGTTTTATATCTGAATCTGGTTCTAATGCTTGTTTTGTCTCTTCAGACTGTGCTTTTCTTTGCTTTAGTCCTTTCTTGCCTCCTAGCTTTGTCATTTGCATTCCCCTTGCCTGGAATACTCCTTCTCTTTAAAGATATTCCTTCACTAACTCCTGTTTTTCATTTATGTCTCATCACAAGTCCTATTTCTTCTGGGAAACTTTCCCTATCCCTTTATAACTATGCATTGCTGACCAATTTTTCTTTTTTCAAAATGCTCTCACATTTCCCTGTGTCTTGTAGAGTTATCCATATTATATCATACCATTTATTATGTCACAATTATATGATCCATAAAAGTTTGTCTACCTATGTTCTTAATACAAAACACAGTTTTTGGCACATACTAGGATCTTGATAAACATTTAATCAAAGAGTGGATAAAGTGCCCTACTAGCAAATGGCAAATCGTGTTTAAAACTTAAGATTTTTTTTGTCCCAAGACTATGGTCTAAGCAACTGCACTCTGTTGCCTCCATCTCAAAAGTTATTGGAATTTGGAATATAAGGCCAGGACAATTTTTAAATAAAGCAGACAGGGGCCAACTAGTTTCAGGACAAACTTGGACAAAGCATCTAATTCCAATAGAAAAAGCTAAAAATCTGTGTCCTTTGGTGGTAAAAGTTCAAATTTATTAACATAGAAAATCAGACCTCACAAGATTTGGTTATTATGTGAGCCAAATCAGTATAAATCAAAGGTTAACTCTGTTCTATTTCAAAAGAAAATATCAGTGGGAGAGTTGAAGTTTGAATAAAATGTTTCTAATAAAAATTTATAATTGCTTTATCAATACAGAATCACACTACAAGGGAATATGTTTTCTCTTTCCTTTAAAAAGTGTAATACTTTTGTTTAATATTAAGTTATTCATCTATAACTATTCAAAAGTAACTCTTTGCAATTGCTTGTTTAAAAGTGTGGCCCCCTAAATACTGCATGTCATCACAACAGGTTTTCTAAAGCATAATTTCTACCCTTCAAGTCAAGATTGTAAGCTAATGCTTCCTTTTTCTTTTTATATATTATTTCTAATGAGTTTTTTTCTAAATAAAAGGATTTTAGCCCCAGAGAATCATCAGAGCACTTACTAATCAATGCTTGTTTTGGTAGAATGCACATTCTTATTTGAAATCTCTTACTTATCATAATTATAAAGCATTATTACAGGGGTCCACCCTATCCACAGGGTGCACAGGCAACCTGAATGCAGTAATAGCCTGTTTCCAACCACCTGAGAAATATTAAGTCTTCACCAAGAAAAACATATTCCATCATCAATATAAATGTATCACATTCATTACATGTCATAGTGTTGGAGATGGAAATAGTGGATCAATTTTTGGTTTTATTTCTTTTATTTTTTTTTAAATAGTAGATGAAAGGGTCTTTCTTTTTCTCTCTTTAACTATTCAAAAATAAGTCTTTGCAATCCCTCAGTCTGATTTGTATTGTTTTCCAACCTGGCAATATATTTTTCATCAAAGCAAGAAGATACATAGTAGAATTACCACACTGTGTCTTATCTAGCATATCAATCAGGTTACATGGGGCTAAGTTTTAAGTTGTCATATGAGGCATAATACTAACTCATTCAGAAACAGAAACACAAAATTGGGCAATTGATGACCCTGGTTATTAAACTTCATTTTGCAATGGGTTTTTACATCACCTGCATGGCTAACCTGGGCTGGTCCAGGAGGTCCCCAAAGATCAAGTCCATGGATCAGTGCTTGAACTAAATCTGGATTTATTCTACCTCTAAGGCTGTATCTTCCCAGTTAACTGTTGGCAAGAATTACTGGAAAATTAGATTATTATGCTTTTGTGTTAAAAAGCAAAATAAAATACAATTTAAAACCTTCAGGAGTATTTGTACAAAACTTTTGCCTGCTATTAATGTGTTTCTTCCATTTTTGCTGATCTAGATTTTACCTGTTGTGCAAAGGCACACTCGAATGCTACTAAAACCCCTCAGGCCCTCAAATGAAAAGAATCTTTTATTACCCAAACTCTCATACCGTTAAAATACCTCTATCTCTTATTGCATTCACTGTGTTCTATTATATAAAATACTTATAATGTCTGTATATGTTATCTCTTTTATCATATATTTATTATATATTTTACTTACTGTCCCTGACAGTAAGTAAACTGTATTTGGCTTTAAAGGTACTTACTGATTTAAAGGGGATAGGAATAGACATAGATTGTTAGACTATAATAACAACTCTGATATAATTTATTAAACACATAATATTTATCCTGGAATCTACTAGGTCCTATATGTGCCTGGTACCATGAAGGTAAAACATCTAAATAATTGATTCTGTGTTGAGCTCTTTCTTTGGTTATATGGATATCTTTCTTGTATGGCGAGTTAAATGGTTCATTAAATGTTAAATGTTTATAATATGAATAAATGAGCCAAAAAAATAACCAAAATGTGTAGAATTATATTTTGTCAGGGTGTACATGTCTGCATTCTATGTCATACAAAGATATATTAAATTATTTTTCTTTTCAACACCTTGAGCTGTTCTTTCTCTTTGAATACATGTGTGTACATGCACAAGAATTTGGACAAAGTTTTATAAAGCAAAAGATAGAACAATGTATAAAATTAAAATAATTTATGTCTCTTTGTTCTTGACATTTCAGATGATGGAAAATTATCATTTGAAGAATTCAAAGCATATTTTGCAGATGGTGTTCTCAGTGGAGAAGAATTACATGAGCTCTTCCATACAATTGATACACATAATACCAAGTAAGGAAATTTTTATCCCTGGATTCCATAAATGTGGCAGAGAGAATGTGAATGCATTCATACCGAGAAAGGAGAAAGAGAGGAACGATGTAGAGGGTATATTTTGCAATGTTTGCCTGTGTTTAATTCTGAGATATCTCGTTAGCAATTAAAATGCTCTGAAAAATAGGAAAATAATGATCATTGGTAGTAAGCTCCCCTGAAGTGTTTTTAGATTGTTCTCACTTTGCAGAATGTAAAACAAAAGTATAAATTATAAATAACTCTAGTTCTACCATTAATTTAAAAAGTAGAATTTTGCCTTGTTATTTAGGCTTCATCCCAATTTGCTTTGTTTAAAAATGGTTCTTAGGCCATTCTTAGTTTAACACAGTGAAATGGAAGAACTGTAGCAGTTATCTGGACAGTTCAGGTGTGCTGAATTGCAAATCACTGTTATCTGAGAGATGCAAGTAATGCAGAACAGGATTCTCTCTGAAGAACCAGTGTATACAGTGATCCATTCATTTTACTTACTTTGCCTATACAGATCTCTCTTTTGCATTAGCATAACATTTATGAAGTTGCTATGTATATTTTCACTATGCTAAAAATATAAAATAATGAGGACTTTAGGGTATAGAGCAGTGGAAATATGCTGCTTGTTTTGGGCACTTGAACCAAATCACATCATTTGTGACAGTCACAATTACAAAACCCTTATATGAAAAACCACCATTTCAGCCATGACTCTGAGACCCATCAGTGTGTCCACTGCTTGAAAAATTACTATCTCATCTTAGGCAAAGTGTTTAGATGGCTCCAGGCAGTGAACCAGCATGCCAAGAAAATGCTCTTAGGCTACATCTACAAACAGCCATTTTTTTGAGGCTACTAAGAAAAACTAAAAGATTAAATTCACTTTACTCAAGCAGTTGAATATTTTTTAAATAACTAATTTATAAACTTCTTGACCTCATTGGGGTTTCAAATTCTTCATCGAATGACTTAAGTATTTTGTTGACAGAAACAGTATTCTTGGGTAACTATACTCAACAATAACTCTAGTATATTGAATCCCTAGTAGGTATTGGCAGTACAACATGAACCACCTTATGGTTTTATGGAGAAATAGACCAATTAGTTGATCTCATCAATATAATTCATCAATGCTGTAATCGAGGAATGCACAGGACATTTTGGGACCATAAGTCCCAAAAGGGAGGAAATTTTAGCCCAATTTGGTAGGCTCAGGGAAGATTTACAGGAGCTGAGTCATTATGGGAGATTAGAGATTCCTCAGGTAAAGAAAGGGGTGGGGAGAAGCATGAGAAAAGGCCTAGAAGAAGAAGGTAAAGAGCAGCAACAAGTAGTTTCTTACTACTAAACTATCAGCTGTAAGGCAGAGAGTGAAAGATGACTCTGGAGAGGAAAGAAAGGACCAGACAAGTTTGCATTCTGTGAAGTGCTTCAACTTTATCCTGAAGGTCAGGGAGAACTATTAAAGAACTTGAGCCAGGCTGCAACATCTTTATGGGTCACTGTGGATCTACTAAAGGACAGGCTTAAAGGAGTAATAGTTGACTCCTCAAATTGCTACTGGGGAAGAATATTTATTTGTGAAAGAAAGGAAGACCTGTTGTACTTTACTGAGATATGAGACTTGAAAGAAAGAGCAGAGGCTCCCTTTGTGGCTTAGGTTTTCGAAGTTGAGATGCTAATGCTTTGTTATATATGCTGATTATTTCTTCCTCGTTACAATTAGTATTGAAGTTTAAACAACATCTGAGTTTGGAACATTTATTGAGAGCCCTAATAGTTCCAAAATTGGGTGTTATGAAGACTTTTTACTCTGTTAAATTTAATTAATATTAATATTTATTCATATTAATGAAAAATTTTTCAATAGATCTTGTCAGCCTGTTTGCTATTTGATTTATATAGTTATTTAAATTACTTGGCATAGCTTTAAGACTACTAAATGTTAAAGAAGTATATGTAATGATTGATAGACCAAATCTAAAGGAATAATTATTATTACCAGTTTCTGCCATATGCATTAGTAGCAAGAAATGTTTTCTGATCATAATGATGTTCAACTTTAATTTGTAGCTAAAGTATAATTTAGGTAGAGACTTCTGAATTATATTCATGAAATTTCTTTTTTTAAGAAAGGGATGTCAGTGTCAGTCTTTTACTGAGATTAATTCAAACATTGGCTCAGAAATTTTGGACCTATATTTGAAGAAACTGATAACTTTTATCTTTGCATGATCCAAGTTTTAATTATTTTAACCAATGCATTATGTATGTCAATTATTTTCTCCTTCCACTCACCTTCTATGAAGATAAACTTTCCTCCAAATCCTGCCTATGTTCAATATCCCTGACCACTCTGATTTAATCAAGAGTACAACCTGGCCTGAAGGAGCCAGTCATGGCTAACTTGGACCAAAATAATCCAACTCATGGTCTCACACTGTTTAAGGTGGGCTGTGAGAGTCAGAGTCTGTGAACATCAGCTGCCGAGGCCCTTCTGGCTACCTGGTTCCTGCCTTTCCTAATGTCAGGACTTTTGACTTCACTTTGGAGTCCATTTAATTGATGTCTCTCAAACACTCCATTTTCTTGAACTTGTTTGAGTAAGATTCTGTTCCTTGTGAAAGAATGTTCTAAGACATTTTTTTGCTGTTCTATTAGAATCCTTACATAGTGAGTCTTTGCTAGAAATTACTTTCCTAATCTATACATCCTGATCATTTCATTCAGAGCAGTGACTTTAGAAGCGAAAAGAACCTTGAGTAAAAGTAAGAGAAATTTGGAGGCATGGGAAACCCAGCTTTCCATCACACCTTTTTAATTATTATTTTAAATTGATAGACATTTTTCATTATGTTCAGACATTTGGAAAGTTTTCCTGAGTTTTTCTTGCATATAGTAATTGGTTGAGTGTGAAACAAAAGACCAGCTTATTTCTGTGGATGGTACTTGGGATATTTTGCATGGCAAAGGAGAATAAGGTCAAATATGTTTTTGTCAACAGGGAAAAATAGTGCTGAAAACTTCGATTTTTCTCAAGCTTTAAGAAAAGTGCATACAATTTAATGTTCTGAAATAATCCTGAAGGATATCATGGCCACCTTACAAAACTTTCATAATTTCCCAGATTTTTGTCAAGCCTCATTTTAACTGTATTGTTTCTGGGTCAAATATGCTTAATTTTTCATTTTCTTTTTTTTTAAAAATTAATCCCTCAGTCATTTTATTGAGTTTATTGCATCCTTTCCAGACTTATTAAAGATTTTTTAAACTCACGTTTTTCTCAACTTTCATAAAGTTGCTCTTCATAAAAGATACTTAGAGCCCTTAAAATGTGTTTGTAAAGGAAACTATCCTAGCAGAAACTAAATCTACAGCTCGGTAGCTTGCAAATTGGAACCATCACACCAGTTAGAGAGCAAGAATAAATACAGGAAAGATCATTAAGTGGCAACTTCCATGGTTCATCAAAAGTGTTCTCATTCATCAGAAAGCCAGTCTGTCTACATTTTACAGTTAGTTATAGGAAAATATGAAGAATTTAGCATAAATCCTTGTGATGTTAATTATAGCAGACAAAGAGGAGAGATCCCCTGGAGCCCAAAACCAATTTTCCCAGCACACTGCACTTTAGAGTTCCAGATTGTCAGGATAGACCAAATGGTAGACCAGATGGAAGTTTCACTCCTATGTCAGAGAGTGAATGTCCCAGAGCCCTCAGATGGGAGTCTGTGAGTAGAGATAGATGATTGATGTCTTCTGATCAAGTGTTCTTTATTTATTCCAAGCTAAAATGATTTTTTGGGTGCTGAGCATTGGGATTTCAACCTAGTACTTGTTAAATCACTGCACACCAAAAATATCACCGCCTACTAAAAGAGCATAGTCCATCTTGAGCTAGCTCTGAAAGTTTAAAAAGCTCTTTCTTAAACCATACTGAAATCTGTCTCTCTCAACTTCTGCTTGCTTCGGCTCTGTAGGGCAGAATATGCATATTTTATGTCAAGTCTTTCTAATATTTGAAGACAGTTTTCATGCACCAATGAGATAAAGTCCCATAATAATTGGAAAGTAATGGTGTCAAAGGATTTGTTTCAGGTGGCAGAATTTTGCTCCTTTGGAAATAGAAAAAGTGCTTCATATTGTATTTGTGCATGACAGATACCTTCCAAATCTTGATAAGTTAGGTGATGAAGCTACTTTCCTCCTTGAATAATCCATTATGCTTAAGCGGTCGTATGCTGTGTGTAGCAGGAAAAGAAGGAAGCATCAGTACTCATGGAATAGGCAATAAGTTGATCCAAAAAGCACAGAGCACAATCTGTATGACATTGCAACTACAAAGCTTATTGCAATTCCAGTAGTGCACAAGAGAGATCTCCTGCTTAATATAGCTTATACTATCCTCAACTAAGCTGAAGTCTTGGAAAGCAGTACCAAGACTTAAGTTCCTGGAGAATAGAGAAGGCCACAGTCCCAGGTACTCAGCTAAGCAAGTATGGTATGACTGAGAGATACACAGGAAGAAACAAGAAAAGAGAGAGAGATGGTCTGGCTGTATGTCAAGAGAACAAAGTGAAGATCAAAGTCCAGAGTACATCAGACTAACATACAGTGGACACACTGGGCTTGCCAGGCTTGGGCTTCAGCAATACCAGTTTGGGTAAGAAGCCCTGGCAGAACTGTGCTTCAGGTTTTCAGACAAGGCCTGAACTGGCCATCAGGAAACTAGCGGAGGACACAGAGTCCACTTAGAACTTTTTTCTATCCATGAACCCAGGCTTAGCTGTGGAAACTAGGAAGTGGGCTGATCTCTGTCCAGGCTTTAAGTAGTTTTTTTGGGGCATAAACAGATACAAGCCAGCAGATGTATGCTGTTTTTGAGAGAGAGGCATGATTTTCAGAATGCTTTGCCTGCCAGATGAGGGATGGAGTCAGAGGAACCACAAAGCTATAGAGAGAATAACATTCTTTTGACAGAT